TGCTGAAAAGCTCCCTTAGCATCCCTCCTCCTTCTGGATTCTGCCCCTTCTCCTGGTTCGTTTACTAACTGCCTACCTAGTGAAGCTGTGGTTTCACCTACTGCTTCTACTGTGATTTAGCTGCTCTTCTCTTTGTTGTCTCGCTCAGTTGATACAGTTGCAGGTGATTTGCAGCCAAGACCCCCTATTATTTATTGCATGCTTGATCTACATCTGGGCCCCCTTTTTTCACTCCACTTGTCTTTAATGACTCCCTTATCCACAGGCCCTGCCGCCTGGTGCACTTCAACCTTTACCAAAGAGGCCAGCACTTGAAAAAAACAATGGTGCCACCACAGTCTTTAACCCAAGCGTTTTCCACTACCAACAGGCTCTAGCCAACATGCAGTTGCAACAGCCTACATTCATCCCTACAGGTAAGTGTCTCCTTGCTTTCCCCAGCGTCGTAGTTGTCTTTTTTTATGACCTAGGCGTTGAGCTAATGAGCAGATTTGTAAGAGTCTTTAGCAAAAGAGTATCAGTGTGTAGTTTCATGTTGAAAATGGATGAAAAGTTAACATTTGTTCTTTGACTTTCTTTTTCTTTCACCTACTACAGTTCAGAGCTTTTAACTTGTAAAGAGCCTTTCTTAGCCTTTTTTGTATGGTTTTGGGTTTCTTTAAGCGGTCAAACTAAGAAAAATGCATGTTTCTTCAATTCATACTTTCTGTTTCCTCTCCTTACGGTTCAATTGGTTAATCCCAAATTAATTCTTTGACTCTTGTGTAGCACTCTTATGGACTCATGTTAAAATGTCTTGTGGACCTCTATGCCTGCTCACTTGAAGCTGCAGGCATCTTTCTGAGCTTCTGTCTCAGTGACCTATATGTTCCAGCAGCCATGATGTTTATAGAGGGCACGGTTCATCTTTAGTAAATACAAATTACATAATCCTCTTTAAAGGCATATATTTCCCTCTTGCTTGTCTTTTGACCAGTAGGATAGCCTAAGCTTTTTAAAAGCAATTTAACTCCCAGCTTTTATTTTACCTTTAAGGTCTCAGAGTAAAATTGAAAGATGCAGTTCAGTAATTCATATAGGACTCTAAATATTGACGTGGCAGATGTGACTGCTGACTAGCCAATTAACCTCTATTCACTGCAGGCAAATGAAAAGCAAAACCTGCCATGTATTATAAGTGGCAGAATTAGGAATATTCCAGAGTTGATGGCTCGTTTTTTAGTATCGTTATTATCATTGCAGAGCACTATAAGAAAACGAATGCCCAATGGTTTTAACGTTTAATGCTGTATTCACTTGCCAGGTGATATTTACACAAATATACAAAGTGTTTCTCTGGGCTGGCCCCTTGAGGTGAACACTCAGTGGTTCTGGACCTTGGCCTTGGGGTCAGGGGAAAAGCTTTAGAGACAGTCCTATACAGAGACCAAACTGTCTCGGGTGTGAGCATGGGTCCAGAGAGCTGGGACCTAAACCTTGTGCTCGTGTAGCCTTTCTGTTATGAGAGCACTTGGAGACACTCAGAACTCGGCAGCTGCCAAGATGTTCTTCCAGGGAAGTGGAGTCTTGTACGGAGAGACAAAGGGAGGGACTCAAGTAGTAGCCTCCCCCATTGTGCTCTGCAAAGAGGTCTTGGAGAGGATGGGCTGAGCTGACCTTACCCAGCTCTGTTAGGTGCCAAGTGAAATACTTCTTCAGGGAAGACTGACACCTTTGAGACTGCCAAGTCCCCCAGCTGGCTACACGCTCCTCTTCCTCAAGGTCGCAGTTGCCAGAGTTGACATAAGGACATGCATTTCTGTTGCAAGCGCCATAAATTAGCTTTTACCCAGCACTCTCACTGTGCTTTTGTGCCCTATCTCGTGACAATGAAATTACACGCAGGGCTGATGCGTAACAGGTCTATTTGCTGGCACGTGCTCTTGACTGAGGACATTAATGCTGGGCAGAGCAGCAAATTTCCAGTCAGAGGACAGATCTCTGATTAATTTACGTTACGCATCCCTGTTTTCCCTTATGCATCAGACTGCAGATCTGCGCTAAGCCTTTGCAGCACTCTGGAAAGCGAAGCAGAGAAGTGGCACGTAGCAGCTCACGCCGTGGGGAAGGGAAGGAGGCTGTTGTTTTTCTTAGTTTCTCCTGTTCAGTTATTGAGAGATCAGCATCATGGGTTGCCATAGGGGGGAAAGTCAGGGTGTCTATTGAAAATTACATCATCGCTACAATTGTTTCAAGTCCAGAAAAAAACTGCCTCTTTCAGCTTAAACTAGAGACTTTGAATCCCTGCTTGCACGAGTAAATTGCTTTTGGAAAGTCAGTTTTAACATGAGTGTGACGTTCCTCTAAGGGCAATTTGTTTTCTGCTGACATGATCAGAAAGAAATCAACATACCTGATAACCAAAAAAGACACCCAAACAACCCTGATTTCTAGGATAGATCATATAATTTAATATCAGGGTGGGAGAAGAAATATATTCTCTACTACCCAAGAATTCGAGAATTAATTTGGTTGCTATGATCTCTTAAAACTGAGTTTAAACTATTTATGTACCAATATGCAGAATCTGTTTGCATGTGCTTAAATACTGAATGCTGCAAGGAGAATACCTGCTTTTTAGTTAAAGTGATTTCTAACACTGAAGCTTCACTAATGAAATATCCCTTTTGTTCATCTTTCCACGCTTCAATGCATGGTGTGCAGGGTCAGTTCTGTGCATGACACCTACTGCAAGCGTTGGTAGGTTTTTCTACACAAACTTCTCAACTTTTCCTAATCTGAAAGAGACAGCAAGTTAGTATGCATCAGTGAGAACCTGGGTGGCTGAGTGGTGTGACTGTCTATCTGCTGTCTTCTTTGAGGCTTAAATGGTTGTATCCCTTTTAATTTCTGTGCAGTGCGGTGTTTCGTGTGACTAATAAGAGAATCCAAGGTGATGTGTTCCCACCCCTATTTAGTTCTGCTGCAGAGACAAAAATTTTTCGCTTAAATGTCTTTACAACCCATTTAAGTCATCCAACAAAAGGAAGTAGCAATGGGAGGATCCTGTTGGTTTATTTTGTTTGTATCAGGCATCAGGTGGGTGAGTTTGGATTTTCGGTTGTCCTTCTGAGGACACTTTAGGAGACTGGTTTAATAAAGGCGCTAAGGAAGAACACATCAGGGGTCAGCCCCTCTGCCAGAGCAGGGTGCTGCTTGTACAGCGAGAGAAGCAGGGCTTAGGCCGTGGACTGGCTTGAAGATTCATCTCTTTAGTGAAGTGTCAGCTCTGCAGGCAGAAGGGACCCTAGGGAGGTACTGCTGTTGATGCAGGTGGGATGCAGTGAGGTAGCAGGGCTGAGTGCACACTTATGGCTGCTGCAGGGTTCCAGTATGTTCAGGCTTAGCATCTGGGTTTTACTGGGAACCTGTGCAGGTGTTTGGGGGACCTTCCCCTCTGTCTACAGCTGCTGGGTACAGCAGAGTGGGTGAAAGCTGAGCTTTCCTCTTCCAACCAAGGTTATACAAGACTACCACCATCCAGGTCTGTGCCTGCTTCGGCCAGAGGGAGAGAGGCAGGAACAGGAGCCCTGGGGAGGGTGCAGGCCTTTGGGGGAGCAGGTCTGAAAGCTTTGGCAGGAATGGCTAAGCACTCTGCTCTGGAACCTCCCCATCCCTATAGAGCAGGGAGGACACACTGCTTGCATGATGGGGAGGTGAACCCTTCAAACACACCTCTGCCTGTAGGAAACCCCAACCCACATGCTCCAACGTCCCATGGCTGGAGCGTGCCCAGCCCGCAGGCACACATGCTTCCCACTGGGGCTGCCTGTGTCTGCTGGGGTGGAGGGGAAGGCAAGTCTGCTTCCCCACCGCATGTTTGTGGGGACAGGCTGGTCTTCCTGCGGCCTCCTCGGCCCCGCAAACCCCCACTGGGTTTGGGGGATGCCTGTGTGTGCCCTGGAGCATCCCCTCCAGCACTGTGCTCTGTGGGACACAGCTTCAGGAGGCTGCCAAGCTCCTTGCTGCCGTGTTGTCCTTTTGGATGCTCTTTCTGCGAATTGTAGCTGTTCAGATGCATTCATGTATTTTTCCCTCTTGGCCCCCTCCCCTCTCCACCACCCCCCCACCCCGCAAGAGGGGAGTTTTGCCAAATCTTCTAGAATTAGGTTGGAAAGGAAGCATGCTGAATTTGTACAGAGAGAGCTCGGGCTGCCAGCTGCTCTCCTGCTGTGCCTCTAGCTCTGTCCCATGCCGAAACATTGTCCCCGCTAGAGAGAGGCAAGAAGACATGGTGAAAGGACTGCGGCAGCCGCCGCAAAGT